TCCAAAATGTTCATGTTCTTCATGCTATATTTCATTTCGTCTCAGTGGTGTTGATTTATGGAATACAAACTATATGTTAGCATTAGTGTGAACTGACAAAATAGATGAAATTTGCTTACTAAGCTTGCAAGATATTACATTTGGGTTGATAGCTATAAAGAAACATAAAGCGAAGAAAAGACAAATTATTTCATGTATGTATTATGTAAGTCCTTAAATTTTTAAACATGTTATGAGAAAAACTTAAACTACAATTAAAAATGACCTGTGCATATATGGTGACACAGTGTACAAAGGTACACTTGTGTTTGAATCAGCTTGTGTACATACGCTGTAAGTGTTAACTGGAAGTAAGGTGATCATTTATACCCCAACTGGGTCCGAGGGGTTTTCTACGCCTCAGGACTTTCAGTACTGAAACTGAGAAAGTCCTCAGCAAACCAGAAAGAGTAGATTATCCTAAGTGAGACATTCCTAAAGCCCTAAATATGTTGCCTTCAAGTAGAAATATTTAACGATTATATAGGTGGAAAGGATAGGATCTATGCATTGAATTCAATATAATATTTAAATAGTCGGTGCTATCTGCACATAACATCTCTGGTCCTTTGCAACACAAAGCCTAATAAAGCTAGCCTCAAGTAACTTAAAGGGCCTTGTGTAAGAAAGATAACACATGCACCAAAAGTATAAAAGCTGTCTTCTATTTGCCAAAATCTAAATATAAACTGGCCACAATGTAGCATCAAAAAAAGATCTGTTTATTGAAAAGATTTGCAAAGATCCAAATCAAGAAAAGCTTTAAAAACAACAGGCAATTTAATTCTAATGAATGAGAGAAGATGGGAATTTCATAAACTTCTAGAGGTTCCACACAAATACTAGCAGCATGAGGAGCTCTGCAGACACACTCTCCAGTGAAACAAGGATAAAGATAAAACAAAAAATTTTTTAATTAAAAACAACCATCTACTCTCTGGAAATATTCCTATGCACATACAGCAAATGAAGACACGTCTGTTCAAGAAGATCTACTAAAGCGTGATAAGAGCAGCAAAATACTGTGGCATTTGCCCCAGGACCTGCTCCCCCTCTCCCACTCCCATCTCCCAGCCTCTGCTTTATGGAAAATCCACTCTGCGCAGGTGTGGTTGTGAAAGCATGGCTCCCCTCCCCTCAGCTCTCAATCCGGGAATATTATCTTTCCAGGAGGTCTGCATTTCTCATCCTCTCCAACTCCAAGTTTGCAAAGGCCAACATCCTCGTGAGTGTGGGTGACACGCTAGCAGCTCACTTCTTCCACTCAACCCCGCTCACAGAGTGGACGCTCTGTCCCCACCAGGCCCATAGATTGGGCCCCGTCACTCTTGCCCCGGGTTGCTAGTTCCATTCCTGTAGAGCCAAAGGAAAGGATCATCCTGCCTTCATCCAGTACCTGGAGCAGCGGCTCAGAGAATTTCCCAGGGTACAAGAAGTCCATAAGGATAGGGAACTCTGAAGCTCTTCCCAAAATGTTTAGTTCATTTTTTTAGCTATACTAGACATAAAATTATAAAAGGTGTTAATTATAACAATGTTTTATTGGGCTTTTGACTATATAGATATAATATAGATAATATATATAGAAAAGCACATAAGTACAGAAGAGTAATACTCTTGTTTTATTGGAGTTGCTACTATGAAGTCTTAACAATTATGAATTGATGAAGAGTTAGTATGAATCTTATAAATTAATATATATATATGATAAAACCTAAAGCAGATAAGAAAATAACAAAAAAGCGTAACAATCATTAAAAGAACTAATATCACACAACAAAATATTTCACTTAATGCAGAAGAGACTAAAGCAGAGGAGAAATCCAAGAACTTGATACCATCATAATTTTTATTCTATGGAAGAGAAATTTCCAGATAAATGGAATCTACCCCTTTAGAGGAAAACATGCTGAGCGAATAGGTTTAAAATATTTCTTAAGAACTAACATCTTCCTGCACAACTTTATTCCAACATGACTGAATTATTCAGTTTAAAAGGGAGGCTTGTATAGTATGTGAATAAAGCTACTACTTAAAAAAGCTTAGGGAAAAAATAAAACGTATTTTTGAAAAGGGAGAACTTGCTGGAGTGCTTGGAGGAACGTGTGTTTGTTGAGGTCAGACAAGAACGCTACTAGGAAACTGATTGGAAAGCATTCCGTTGCATGCAAAGTAAGAGATACTGATTTCGTTCTGTTTAGTGAACAGTAATAACTGAATCTCAGTGCTTTAAGGTACCTTCGGAATCTCCAACTGCACGTAAATTTGTCCCACCCCATCTGCATCAAGTATTTCCACAGTCAGTATATGTTTACCCCTGTGCTTACTGTTTTCTGAGGAAACTTATATGACCTTGTGCAGCTTGAACATCAAAGTCCTTGTATGTTTATCTGAAATAATCATTCTTTTTATGGATTCCTTTCTCCTTGCCATGTGCATTCTACTGAAATATAAGAGGGAAATATAATACCTGCTCCCCATGGGCATCCTTATCAAACTAAAGGCAGCTAGAGTCTTGTGTCTTCTTTCCCTAAATTGCTTATTCCCTAGTTATTTCAACTACTCTTCGCAACCCATTGCATCAAATCTCTTTACAGGTCTAGTGAATCTCTTGGTCTCTTGGCAAGATTCTGGTGTACATAAAAAGTTTACTGCCTTGTCCCTTCAAATACGTATACCATATGCCTTAAAAGTGGTAAACTTTTAATTTGTACCCTAATTAGAGCCTCTGATAATGTTCATTACACACAGGATCATGTTGGACCTCATATAATTTATGAGGCCCTCCTTAACCTGAATCACTTTTTTTTCTTGTTATTTTGCCTCTCAGATATTTTTCCATAATCCTAGACACCTTAGAATTCCCCACACATACTGCCTGCTTCTGCCTCAGCTGCTGCAGCTTCCTGAGATGCCTTTCCTCCTCTCCTCACTTTGGTTGCTTCACTCTTCTCCTAAATATTCCTGTGTAGCCGTCTAATGTCAGCCCAATATCACATGCAGGGAGCTTTGCCTGAACCAATAGATCCCAAACTGGGCATGTTTTCTCTGCATTCCTGTAGTGTTTTCTCTGCCCATCAGGCATTGAAATTGTGTATGTTGTCCCCAACGGGACTCTTTATCGGTGGGCATCAAACTTCACTTCTTTTTAATGTATCTCGACCCTAGTACAGTGACTAGTGCATGGCAGACTACTCAGCCAACATTTAACACCTCATTGAACCCACTTAGTGTACACCATCAATTCTTCCAGAAATGCTATAGTCACTAAGGAGATTCAATAGCAATGTTCTCCTTAAATTAGGCACGTGCTCCAGTTGAATAAAAGTGCTGGAGGTGGGTATTGTGAGAAAATGCTTTCTCATTCAGAAAAGGAGATTATGCACTTGAAAGAATTGATCTGATTGTATCCTGTGCTCCCTGACTTTGAAATGTGTTTGTCTTGGTTCATAATTTTTGAGAGTATTCCTGTGAGGCAGGATTCTACACTGAAATCACAAGGCATCAGTGCATTTTCACCCCTCCAGTCGACAATGGAAATATCAAAGGCAGATTAACTGCATCATTCATTCACTGATCCTATTAGCTATTAACAAATATTGGCAACTTAGGACTTATACATTTCATCCAACAAGGCAAACTAGCCTTGGTCTAGGGCTGCACTGACATGCAGACTGACCCAGTTTTAAATGATGAGTTTGTCAAAATAATACCTTGCTTCTTTGAAATGCATTCCTTAACTAACTTTTTACAAACAAAAAAGGGATACCTTTCTTTGGCCTAGGGAATAGGATGGTCTGACTACAATGATGTCATCTGCTCTCTGCCATTGTTTAAATGACCTGGCCTTGATTTCCAGACTAAAATAATGACAATAAATATATTGCATATTGAGCCCTTTGATAGCAGAGGCCATTCACAGAAAACATCTTATTTAAAATTGGTAAGCCTATGTTAATGATAATTATGTGGAAAACATTGAGAACCTGGTCAAATATTAAAACTTCAGATAGCCACCAGAGTTCCAACTTCCTTGCTCTCTGAACTTGGGCAGATTCCTTAATGTCTCTATGCTTCAGTTTCCTCATATGTAAAACAGAGGGATTAATAATACTTCTTGCTTTAGGGCTATTGTGGGGATTTAATAAGTTAATATATCTATTTAGAACAATATCTGGTATAGTCTATTATTACGATGATTGAAAACATGTTTGGAAAATAATTTTACATATTTCCTTCTATATGTCACTGTTATCTAGACTTCTATAAATGCAATTTATGTCCTTTTATCCACTTTATTGGAGATTTTAATCCAGTTACTTCACATAAAGAAGACAACATCTGTTCCTATGAAGGTTAGCTAATAAATAAGATAAAGAGACATTATTAGCCAAGGTCACTATTTTTTTTTTTTTAGAAAATTGTCCTGATAAATAGAGCAATAAAACAACAGTAGCTATTTTATATCTGTTTGAGGAAAATACTTCTGTAGCATTACCACATTGTCAGTTAAAAAATTTCCTTTTAGTTTCCATAATAGTGATTCTTTTTCTATCCATGGAAACAAAAATTCTACCTCTGTTTGGCCAGATGCCTCCCCCACCCCACAGCTCTTTCCACAGCCACCATTAAGGAATCCTTTACTGCTTGAAAAACTTTTAATATTCAGCAGGTTAAGGTAACCCCTGGTCAGCTTTAGAATTTTAGTCTCTGCTGAGCTTTCAAGATGTCAAGACCCTAAAATAATATGAACAGCAGGAGTACTAAATCTTTCATTATTTCCAGTTTCCCCTTGAGCATACTGACTTTGCAATAAAGAAGCTGTCATTTACACTCTTCTTTATTGCAAGGTTGGTAATAGCTACAGGGAGAAAAATAAGGAACTGTGTCAAGTTAGTCTGACTGCCATTATGATTAATGTGTAATCATTGCACATTTGCATCTGCTCTTTTTATGTACAGGTACTTCATAGATTGGAAGAGTGATGGGGACAGCTACTTTACAATAGATGGAACGGAAGGAACCATTGCCACTAATGAATTACTAGACAGAGAAAGCACGGCGCAGTATAATTTCTCCATAATTGCGAGTAAAGTTAGTAAGTATGGCATTACGGAATCAATGTTCTCCTGCACTTCTTTGCATTTGACACTCTTAAATGAGTCCCTGCTGAGCTGTTTTTCAATTTTGGACTGACAGCTGAGTGGTCTCCTGAGGAAACTCAGAAACCTGTTCCTTTTCCTTGTAGCATTAAGTCCAGAGAAATGGTGACAGCTGCCAATGAGCCTGTTTGCAGGATTGCATGAATATCTAGTAGTGCATTTCATTGTGTGACCTCATTTTTTTCCACACTGTAGCCTCAAATAGCCACTAGAGTTCCAACTCCTCTTCCACATCAGATCTGTGTGTATATTATTGGGAGCTTCATAGGTCAGGCAGGAGGAATAATTATCACATAAAATCACCTATTTGGAAATCAATTTGAAATTGAAGACAGCATTTTAAAAATCACCTCTCTTCCTTCTCTCTCCTTTAATTTTATTATGAATATCACTGCAAAATATACAGGAGTAATAAGACCAATTCTTCAAGGAATCATTCAGAATCTCCAGGATTGTTATGAATGATTCCTTGTGTTGATTTCTGCTTGGTCCAGAAGAGAATCCTATAGACTGAAAGTGATTATAGGTTTTTATTTGTTTGGCTGGAAGATCAAGGACGTTCTTACAACTTCCTAAGGTAACAGAGTAGTGTGGGGGGACATTTGGCTGTCACCAAAGCCATTGATAACCAAAGTCCTTCTTACCAGTCCTTGTACTTATGGTCTCTTGAAAGATATGGGGAAATTCTTCCCTAGTATCTTTCTGTTGCTTCTTACTCATTTTAGTTTTTGCATGTACTACAAATACTTTGGCAGCTAATTTCACATTTTAGTGCAGGGAAGAGCTAACTGAATATTTCTGTTGAGGGGTTTTAAATCAATATTAACTCAGTGGGGTGTAAATATGAAACAGGTTTGTTTATCTTTAACAACTGCTTCCTGATGTGAATAGTCAGACACTTATTCCCAGGCCTTAATGACATTGTTAGCTCATTTCACTACTTTTAAGTTATTCTGATCATTAAAGGTAAGCCTAACAGAAAAGTACAAGAAGCTTCTGTCTTGTCCTTTGGAACACTGCCCCTTCATGTAAGAAGGCTGACTACATTGTGGCTGTCGTACTAGAGGGATCACATGTTGGTGATCAGGTTGACGTCCCAACTCAGCTCAACGTTCCAACTCTACCTGTTGGATATGTGTTGGATGTATGAGTGAAACTGTCTTCAACTCTCTGGTCAAGGCGACTTGGCAGCTGAATACTACAATGTAACTTCTGACAATACTATGTGAAGTGGAATATACTGCCAGCCAGATCCAGACCAGATTCTTACCCACAAAATTGTTAGACATACTGGACTGTAATTATTTCAAGCAATGACATTTTAGGGTTGATTTTTGTTACATGCCAATAGATAACTGCGGAACTCAGTTCAAACTGTGATTCCTTGCTGATGGGGATACAGATTCTTGTGTCTGTTTCTTGGAGTAGGAAAGAGAGAAAGGAATACCAATGCACAGTTTTCTCTAATATGTCCCCATATGCTGCTCCATTGGTTGCTATTGATTCCAGGGCTAAAATGGACTGGCAGTGAAGGCGGTTGCTCCAATACTGTCTTCTTACATGATTTTTGAGTTAACTAATATTGGGGTTTGGGGCATCCCATCTGTGTAGGAACTTGAAATAGGCACCCAGTATTAGACCTTTCAGTTTCTTAATAATAGGGTCCCCTTGAACAGCAGGTGGCCTTCTTGGGTGAGGTCATAGCACTATGTCTCAATTTCAGCTTTATGTGATGCCCACTTGACCCTGAAGAAATTCTGCTGCATGTGGGCTTTCTCTGTCCTGTCATCTCCTTTCAAATTTGCCCTCTTCTCTCAGGCTTTGAGAGCAGATCATCCAGTAAGTTGCCTGAGAAGATGTATTATCAGAACAAAATGCTAGTCTCCCCTTTTTCAGAGTACACTTCTCTTTATATTATTTTCCTGAGCTCTCTTTTCACAGTGGCATCTTTTTCCCTCCTGTGCCATATCCTGTTATAGTTACATATGTTATACATCATTCCTTTCATGCCAACTTTCAATTATTCACTCAATCAGAGCATTGGGGATTGCTTAACCATATTGTAGGTAGAAAATAAACTTCAGTTTCCTAAGATCGTTGGCAAGTACAGTGAAAATGATTTGTCTAAGTTCTGGAGTCTAAGACTTCTCTGAGCCATGTTACATTCAGTTGGACACAGTAAGTGGCAACTTTCCAGAGGCAGTCTCATCAAATAACTTCTATTTATCAAAGACATATCATTCATAATAAAAGAGTATTCATTAGAAAACTATCTAATTCAACCTACAACTTCCTGTTAATGTACATGCAAAACGTGCATATTTTTTGCAGTAAGAATAGTAGGGTCTTGCACTTTAAGTGAAGATGAGAGTCTGTGGACAGTTCATTGATCACCTGTATTGTAGCTCTGGAAGGACTCTTTCTCTCCAGTGGCTACCTAGGCCACCAAGCCATCAAAATGGTATAAAGGCACTTGTAGTAACAGGGCTGGTATATCCAGTTGGAACATTGAGCTTCAGCCATTTGGAAAATGGAAGAAAACTATGTCCCCTTACTGTGGAATTATGGTCACTGATCCTCAAAAGCTTAGATTTTTCAAATTTAGGGAGCCCTGTTTTTTAATTACCAATATGATTAGGGCATGTGCTGCCTCTGCTACTCCAAACCAATGGCTGTAGTTTTTACCTAAATGGAAATTAAGAAAACATAGTATATGGATTCTCCTAAGTTATGTTGGCCTTTACTGGCATATTTGCAGAATTGGGACTTAGACACATAATTCATGTATATGAATATATATGCCATATAACGGTGATGCCAACAAATATTTCCAAAATATCTACCCCTGGTCTATTCCAGTATGTATTCAAAAGAACACTGTGCAGGTTTCAGAGCTTCCAAGGAATTATGTTGGACTAAACACTATCTGTGTTTAAAATTGAAAAGGATAGAGAAGATAAACATATACTATGTGGTAATTAAAAAGTCTACAATAAGAATAGCTTATTGTGGGCTTTATTTGCTTGAATCCACAAAGTTTAAAGGCAAACTTTATTCATATTTGAATGCATAGTGAAGTTTGCATTGATCATACTAGCAGCTGAGGAGGAAATTGTCATCATAGTGAATTACGGAGAAATAAACAGTCCACCCTTGCCCTGCCAAAAGAACAAAATTGTATAATTATACTTTATTACAGATTGTACTACCATATGTTTTGACCCTGACTCTTCTATAAAACTCTTAGGTGAAATGAAATGGTACAATGATTGAACGACTTCCAATTAGTTAAAAAGCAGTCATTAATCAGTGCCACTGTGGTTGGAGGTCCTAATATTTTACTAGACTCCTAATAATTATTGTATGCATTACTGCTTTTCCATTTTTATGATATTAATCTTGAGAATTTTAAGGGACAGAAGCCCCCAAATTTTGTTTAAATAATCAGAAACTTACAACATGAGAATATGTCTAATTTAGGGATTATTTTTGTAATCATTTTGTTATTTTGGTATTACTACAAAAAATAACATTAGGTAAAGATTACTAACAATAACTTCATTAAAGCCCTAAAACAAATTTCATACGGTTATAAAATAACTGGATGACACCAGATTCTTTTCACATAATTCTCCAGACGGTAATGGATTGTTTCCATTCATTGTTGAATAGGTCAAAAATCAGTATATTAACTTACTAAGTGCTTTATTTGGAGAAAATTGTGCATGTAAATAAATAATTATGAGTTGGGATTAAATTGTTCGGTAATTAGGTTTTAAGGTTACTTGGTATATAGAGCAATTTTGTTATAACTTTTTTTTTACTGCAACATAATATAAGTGATATCATTTTCAAATGTACAGAAGAATCAAACTGGGATTGCTATCCATAATTCAGGCTCAACATAAATTCATTTATTTGTCTAAACTTCCAAAACACTATTTGTTGTGGGTTATGAGAAAACTAAGACTGAAGTCAGTTTCAAAGATATTAAAGTTTAAGAGTAGTTAGAAATTGACCAAAATAGATAATGTTAGTAAGTTATAACTATGAAAATTATGCTGAATTCCAGGAACTTTAGGTTTATGTGTACTCCATTTCACCCCCAGGGGGAGGTTGCAAAATGTTAGGTCTAATCAGAATGTGGTTATTAGTGATGAAGGATTTAAATACAAATAAATACATTTTGTGGTAAATTTTATGAAGATTGCCATCTGCCTGTATACCAGTTAGCCATGAAATTATGTTCTTAGACCAACTGAGAAGAAAGTTCCTAATTTTTCTATAATAATAATAATAACAAATTAAGAAAACTCTTCTAATTACTTTATATACAAGGTATTATTGTCTATATTGTAGGAGTGAGGAAATGGAGGCTCAGAGATATTAGTTTGTAGCTCAGTGTCACACAGTGAATGATGATCAACCTCAGACTGGAGTCCTGGACCCTCTCACTCCAAAATGTAATTTTACAGGGACAAATATTCATTTGCCTGTGCAATGAATACTTACTTTAAATAAGTTAGTAATAGACCTAGGTCATGGTGATTTTCATATGCATGGATAATTAAAGTACAATATAGTAAAAAATTATATATACATTTACAGTGTATATATTAATGCAATTATTGCTAGTCTGGATATCTATCTATTTATTTATCTATTATCCATCATATTTAAGCTTGTTAGAGTGATTATCTATTAGAATTTTATAGTGAATTTGTATTTTGGTAATAAAATGCAATGACAAAATATGAGAATAGGGAAATACGTGTGCAATATTATGTGCATGACCATGGTATAATTAGCTAGATTTCTATCTGTGCCCACAATTATATATTACTAGATCAGCTACAACAGGAATTCCCAGTGATTTCATTTTGAAGTCTCCTTTTTAATAATTTATTTGTGCACTGAAAGATTTAGTCTATACTAC